ATTGTGTCTAGGCTCAATGGAGCTAATAAATCCCTATTTCTATCTCTAATCTCCACGTCCATATTGATATTTCAAAATCGAATCCAACACCAGAAAGTTTATTTTAGTTTTTCTCCTGTCTGTTTGTAACTCCTGTCTCCAAGTGAGAAACCCGGCTCACATTATTCTCGGCATATCTACTCATTTTACCAGTCTCAGATTCACAGAAAACAGTTTCAGAATTGCTAACACTCCCACTAGAAAAAACATATGCACTAACCAGTGTTCAATATTTGTTAAAAGATTCTTGTCTTTAGACTGAGGGTATATAGTCAAAACTCTGTATTTGAAGGTAGTTATTTTTCCCTTCAGTGTGATTGTTATTCATTTGAAATATAGTTGGCCTCATTTGTTTCTGTTTATATTTCTTTCCCCTCCATCATTGTTCATTTAACTTCATTGTTGTCACCATCGTCATCATCGTCTTTGTGAGTGTGTAAAATATTAACATGGTCCCAAACCCAAAATTATACAAAATGCTATATTTAAAGGAGTGTTACTTTTCCTTCTCCACCCCATCCACCTTTTTAAAAAAAGTTTATTTATTTATTTTGGTGCGAGTGGGAGAGGGGCAGAGAAAGAAGGAGAGACAGAGGATCCCAAGCAGGCTCCATGCTGCCAGCACAGAGCCCGATATGGGGCTTGAGCTCACGAAACCATGAGATCATGACCTGAGTCCAACCAAGAGTTGAATGCTTAACTGACTGAGCCACCCAGGTGCCCCCCTGCCCCATCTACCTTGTTAATGCACCCTCATTAGTTTCCTGTTCAACCTTCAGGAGTCTCTTTTTGTAAATATAAATAAACACATTTATATTATCTTATTGAAGCATCAGCCTGAGGGATAGGCATCTAATTTAACACATTTAGCAGCCTGCTGGAACACTCTCTGGGGATAGAGATTGGTTCCATCTTTATGCTCTCCCTTTGCCATGCTCGAAAGCACCAGCATTTCTTGGAAGGGAGCTTTTACATGTATTTGGTCCCCTGATTTCTGCAGCTGCTCCCCAGACGACACCCCTTGATTGCCTGGCTCTAGTAGCCGGGGTTGGGGTGGGGGATTGCATTCCTGGATCCCAGGAGACTATGGCAATCAGAAAGACCGTTTTTGTCAGGGTGCCACCCCCAGGACATTGCACAGATAGCAGACTGAAGCACACCTCCCAGTCTTTCTGTGAAACAGACCTCTTTGCTTATCCTGGAGCTTTGGTCTGAGGAGTAGGCTTCAGGTTTGGCACACAGCTAGTGGCCTATGGAGCTGCTTTCGAGGAACATGGCCTATGGATGCCATCTTGGTGCTCTCTCTCTGCCTTGCTCCAGCTAACCAGTATCTCCCAGAAAAGAGTTTATTTTCTCTTCTTTATTACACAAAAGTAGTGTACTCTATATGCTTTCTTACACTGGTTTATTTTGACTGACAGCAAGTATATCCTGGAAATCACTCTATATCATACCTTCTTTAGTTTTTTTTGTTTTTGTTTTTTTTAATTTTTTTTTCAACGTTTATTCATTTCTGGGACAGACAGAGACAGAGCATGAACGGGGCAGGGGCAGAGAGAGAGGGAGACACAGAATCGGAAACAGGCTCCAGGCTCTGAGCCATCAGCCCAGAGCCCGACGCGGGGCTCGAGCTCACGGACCGCGAGATCGTGACCTGGCTGAAGTCGGACGCTTAACCGACTGCACCACCCAGGCGCCCCTAGTTTTTTTTTTAAGTTTATTTTTTTTGAGAGATAGAGAGAGTGAGAGAGACAGGAAGGGAGAGAACATGAGTAGGGGAGGGGCAGAAAAAGAGGGAGAGACAGAATCCCGAGCAGGCTCTGCACTGTCAGCTCAGAACCCAATGCAGGGCTCAGTCCCACGAACTGTCAGATCATGACCTGAGCTGATATGAAGGGTTAGGTGCTTAACCTACTGAGCCACCCAAGTACCCAACCAACACCTTATTTAGTTTTTACTTACAGCAGTATAATACACCATCGTGTGAATGTACCATAATTTATTCAACCAATCTTCTATGTATATTTTATCCCAATGTTTTTTCAATAACAGTTAGTGATGTTCCTTGTTCATATGCATTTTTGTATTCCTGAAGGTGTACCTTCAATGTAAATTCTTAGATATGAGTCAAAAGGTAAACTCACTTGTGATTTTGTTAGATATTGTCAAATTCTCCCTCCATAGAGGTAGGGGACATTCCCACCAGCAGTGTGTAAGAATGTCTCTTGCCTTATGGTCTTGTCAAGAGAATGTGCCATCAAGCTTTGTAGTTTTACCAAATTTAATCATTGAGAAACAGTAATTCAGCATAGTTGTAATTTCTCTTATTATGACTGAAGTCCATCTTTTCATCTGCTTAAAGATCATTTTAAAATCTTTATTTGTGAATTGTCTCTTTGTGACTTTGACATATTTTTCTTTTTCTTTCTTTCTTTTTTTTGTCTTAACCCCCTCAATTTTAGAGTTCTTTATGTAGTAAGGATAGATATTAGCCCTTACCTCTGATGCCTGGTAATCAGGGCTATTTTAAAATCAGTCTGTGAGTCTCTTTTATTGTCTTTTTAAAAAAAATAATTTTGGGTTTTGACCATTTGTTCCTCTTTCCTAGTAGGCCTAGGTTTTGACTGAATGCCAGACTTGGTGTATGAAAAGTTGTAGAGGCTATAGGTGGTGTTATTTTCCTCTAGAGATGATTTCGTTTCCTACTGGCTGACAGATGATGTTTGGGTAGGTAAGCTTGATCGAGGCTGCTCAATTTAAGGTTTGTCCTCATGGTAAGGGAGTAGCCCTTCTTGGGTTGAAATTGAAAGGCTAGGGGGGGGTCTCCTCAACACAACAAGACTCCTATTTTCTCCTTAGGTTTTTAACCTTGTAGTAGTTGCTTTTGGCTCGTTTGTTGGTTTCACCAGAACACACGCAGTGGAGGAGTGAGCAGATGCCCTGAGGGGAACCTGCACCACCAGGCTCACTTATCTGCAGCTCACCCTCTCCAGGATGTTGGCCTATCACTTTTGTCCCCTCTATCAACACAGCAAGACCACCATGAGCTGTAGGTTCCTGCCATTCGGAGGCGTTGTTAGCCACATGGTGAGCTGGCAAATACCCTGATGAGAAATAGGGATGGTGAGTACAGGGTTCATCAGTGTATTACCCTGTTCCCAAGGTTACAGCCTGTAAAGTTCTGCCTTCTTGGTTATTTGCCCAGAGCTTCAGGCAGCTCTTCTTTTACATTTTATCTAACTTTTAGAGTGGTTCTCAAATAGAGGGGTTATCCTGATACTAGGTATTCTGTCCTAGCTAGCAGCACCATTCGTGTCTCCACTTAGCACATTGCATTGAATTTATATGGAAATGAGAGGACACAGGCAAATCAGCAAGGCCTTTTAAAGGATAAAGAAAGGGGCCTGCTCAAACACTGCTGGGGAGGGTGTAAGTTGGTGCCACCTTTCCAGAGGGTGTTGATTTATATCAAAATCTTTAACACTTCCTTTGCCCTTTGACTCAGCACTTCTGCTTCTAGGTGTTTATCCTGAGAGAATAATCATGGATGTGTGTGGAGATTTATTTACACAGGTTCTAATCCCAGTCAACAAAATTGGAGTGAAAATCCTAAGTATGAAACAATGGAGGATTCAATAAATTGTGGTGCTTCAATACGATGGAATGTTAGGGAACTCAACATTAGAAATGATATAGAAGACTATTTAAACATAATAATGATCAATAGCTAAGCACAAGAGATTATGACACAACATGTGCAGGATGGCCCAATTTAAGGTTGTATATACAGATACATAGAGATAAGACTGGAATAATGCATATAGCTGGTATTGTTGGGTTATTGGGTGTTTCCCTCCCTTCGTTATGCATATTTAAAATTGTTTCCATTTTTGTTTTGTTTTTTTTAATTTTTTTATTTAAAAAAAAATTTTTTTTCAACGTTTATTTATTTTTGGGACAGAGAGAGACAGAGCATGAACGGGGGAGGAGCAGAGAGAGAGGGAGACACAGAATCGGAAACAGGCTCCAGGCTCTGAGCCATCAGCCCAGAGCCTGATGCGGGGCTCGAACCCACGGACCGCGAGATCGTGACCTGGCTGAAGTCGGACGCTCAACCGACTGCGCCACCCAGGCGCCCCTCCATTTTTGGAAAATTAATTTTGTTCTAAGAAAAAATAAATACACTTAAAAAAAAACCCTGATAGTTGGTAGGCCCAGTTGATAATATTTTCTGGCAAACATTTTATTTTATACTGGTTGCGTGAGTTCTGTCTTTATGCCCTCAGTGGTGTTACAGATTTCATCAGAAACAGTACCTGCCTATGTGAAAGAATGAAATCTTGCCATTGGCAACAACGTGGATGGAACTGGAGGGTATTATGCTAAGTGAAATAAGTCAGGGAAAGACAGACATATGTTTTCACTCATATGTGGAACTTGAGAAACTTAACAGAAGACCATGGGTGAAGGGAAGGGGAAAATAGTTTCAAACAGAGAGGGAGGCAAACCGTAGGAGACTCTTAAATACAGAGAACAAACTGAAGGTAGATGGGGGGGCACAGCAGGGGGAAAATGGGTGACAGGCTTGTTGGGATGAGCACTGGGTGTTGTATGTAAGCGATGAATCATGGGAATCTACAGTACCTGACTCAGAAATATTTTGTGGAACAGAAGACTTCCATACAAATATACTTTGAATTCCTACTAGTCAGATTCAAACAGAGGCTTCACTGTTTCTGTCAGTGTTTGCAAAAGCCTTTTTAGTAAGGAGTCCTTTAGTAAGGAGTCCTTTTAAAGGTTTGTGACAAAGACTTGGATTATAAGGGAAGATTTATTTCCTAGAAAACAAATCTAGTTTCCTTTTGAAACCAATGGCCAAAACTTAAATGAAATTGCTTTTGTAAAACTGAAATCACGATTTCTGCAAACCATCCTTATTCTCTGTTGTTTTCTTCTTGAAGGTCTGTTCTGAGACAGCAATCACCAACTATGACCTGTTGGGTTTCGAGGCTGCTCCCTAGGAATGTCCATTCCTTGGGTACATCATCCAAGAACCAGAGAGTTGAGGATTGTCATCGACACCATGAGGCCTATGGGTACTTCTTACCCATCCAAACGAGGTGGCAGGACAATGACCAGTATGGTCAGGTGAACAATGCCGTGTACTACAGCTACTTTGACACTATTGTCAGCCACTACCTGATCAGGTAGGCTTGGGGTCTGAGCCCCATGTCCTCATGTCAGCCCTCTCAGTTGGGAGTTCAGGCGGGGCATTATGGGAAGAAATACCTTCCATTTTCTTCTGCTAGTGCACCCTTTTTCTTGAGCCAACTGAAAGTCAGATTATTCAAGAGAAGAACAGGAGGACCAACATGTGAGTGAGGAAAGTGTCACCCTGCTGCTCTTGCAGTCTCAGGTGCTTGTGTATCTTGGTCCTTTGCACTAAATTGTCAGTAAATGTGCAGGCTTTGAATCTCAAATGAGCATCTACACAAAAAGCCACATGTGTTCAGACTTGAGCAGACAATACCATCAGCCCTCGGGCCTTTTTGTGAGAAAAGCAGCTGCTTCCCCCAGACAGGGCACATAAGGGGGAAGAGAGAAAGTTAAAGGTATGAAGATGTTATGGCCTCCGAGTGCAGCGCTGACATGATTGCCATCTGATGTGTGTTTGCAAGATTGGTTAGTATATATTCGGTTAATGTAATTCTCTATATGAAAGATTGTGTCATATAGACCCATCTGAGTAAATTCTACCTCCACGTTGCATTAGCTGTGCAGTTTTGAGCAACCTATTTAACCATATGGAGTCTTCTAGAAAAATAACTCACATTTGTTGAGAGCTTTCTCTGCATCTAGCACTGTGGAGCATTTTACAGAGACTTTTTAAATTGAGGGTATAATTGACATAAAACATTATACTACTTTCAGGTGCACAATGTTTGTATAATACTTGATATTTTTATACACTGTGAAGTGATAACCACAATACATCTAGTGACTATCCATCTCCATACAAAGTTACAAAAACTTGATTTTTTTTCTCATGATGGACACTTTTAAGATTTATTCTTCTAGCAACTTTCAAATATACAGGATAATTCTATTGACTATAGTCACCATGCTGTGCATTACATCCCTATGACTTATTTCTTAGAACTGGAAGCTTATACCTCTTGACCCCTGTCACCCAGTTTGCTCATCCTCCAGCCCCTTTCTCCCCATGGCACCACCATTCTGTTATCTGTATCTGTGAGTTTTGTTTTTAGATCCCACATATAAGCAAGTTCCTATTTATCTTTCTCTGACTTAATTTCACTCGTCATAATACCCTCAAGGTCCATCCACGTTGTTGCAAGTGGCAAGGTTTCATCTTTTTATGGCTGGCTAATATTCCATCTTCTTTATCCGTTCATCCATCAATGTACACTTACGTTGTTTCCATGTCCGGGTTATTGTAAATAATACTGCAGTGAACACAGGGATGCATATATCTTTTCAAATTAGTGTTTTCATTTGCTTCAGATAAATACCCAGAGGTGGAATTGCTGAATCATATGTTATTTCTATCTTTAATTTTTTGAAGAACTTCCATACTGTTTTCCATCGTGGCTACACCAGTTTAAATTCCCCCACAGTGCACAAAGGTTCCCCTTTTCTCACATCCTTGCCAACAGTCGTTCTTTGTTTTTTTGAAATAGCCATTCTACCTGATATGAGGTGATATCTCATTGTGGTTTTGATTTGCATTTTTCCCTGGTGATTAGTGATATTGAGCATCTTTTCATGTGTCTGTTGGCCATCTATATGTCTTCTTTGGAAAAATGTTCAGATCCTCTGCCCATTTTTTAATTGCATTGTTTGCTTTTTTGCTATTGGTTTGTATGAGTTTTTAAATGTATCTTAGATGTTAACCCCTTATCAGATATATGATTTGCAAATATTTTCTCCCTTTCAGTATGTTGCCTTTTCACTTTGTTGACAGTTTCTTGTGCTGTGCAGAATCCTTTTAGTTTGATGTAGTCCCATTTGTTTATTTTTGCTTTTTTTTGCCTTTGTTTAAAAAATTTTTTAATGTTTATTTATTTTTGAGAGAAAGAGAGAGGATGAACGGGGGAGGGGCAGAGAGAGAGACACACACACAGAATCTGAAGCAGGCTCCAGGCTCTGAGCTGTCAGCACAGAACCTGATGCGAGGCTTGAACTCATGAACCATGAGATCATGACCTGAGTCTAAGTCGGAAGCTTAACCGACTGAGCCACCCAGGCGCCCCTTGTTGCCTTTGTTTTTAAAGCCAGATCCAAAATATCACCAAGGGTGATGTCAAGGAATTTGCCACCTGCCTTTTCTTCTAGGAGTTTTATGATTTCAGATCTTACGTTCAAGTCTTTAATCTATTTTGAGTTATTTTTTGTGTGTCTAGATAGTCTAGTTTCATTCTTTTGCACGTGGCTGTCCAGTTTTCCCAAATCCATTTATTAATGAGACTATCCTTTTCTCATGGTATGTTGTTGCCTCCTTTGTTGTAAATCCATTGACTATACATGCATGGGTTTATTTCTGGGCTCTCTATTCTGTTCCATTGATCTGTGTATCTGTTTTTATGCCAGTACCATACTGTTTTGATTACTATAGCTTTCTAATAATATAGTTTGAAATCAGGCAGCATGGTGTCTCTAGCGTCTTTTGTGGTTCCCTACAAATGTTAGGATTGTTTGTTCTATCTCTGTGAAAAATTCCACTGAGATTTTGATAGGGGTTGCACCAAAGTAGCCTTCAGTCAGTGACTGATGGGAGTTGGTATATAAATACCCCAGCTTCCTCACCTCTTGGATGAGATACCTCTGAGCCACCCACTTTACATAGGCTCCTGTGCTTCCCCAGTGGGATTAAGATCCAGTTCCCAGATTGGTAGCTTTTTAAAAAAAATTGAGTTAAAATTTATATAACTTAAAATATCTTCTAACTATTTCAAAGTGTACAAATTCAGTGGTTTTTAGTACAGTCACAATGTTGTGCAACCGTCACTGCTCTCTGAATCCAGAACATTTCCATCACCCCAAAAAAGGATTTCTCATTTCCCCTCTCCCCCTTCCCTTGGCAACCATGAATCTACTTTCCATCTCTATAGGTTTGCCAATTCTGGACATGTCATATAAGTGGAATCATACAATATGAGGTCTTTTGTGTCTGTCTTCTTTCACTTAGCAAGATGTTTCAAGGCTGATCCATGTTCTAAAATGTATTAGTACTTCATTCCTTTCTATAGCTGGATGGTACCCAATTGTATTGTCATGCCAGATTTTGTTTATTCATCTATCAGGTGATGGACATTTGGGTTATTTCCACTTTTTGGGTTCTAAGAATAATGTGGCTATGAATATTTGTGCACAAGTTTTTGTAAGGACATGTTTTCAATTCTCTTGCATATATACATACTTAGAATGGAATCGCTGGGTCATGTGGTAATTCTGTGTTTAACTTGTTGGGGAGCTGTCAGACTGCTCTCCAGTAGCTGGGCCACTTATATTCCCACCAGCAATGTATGAGGGCTTCAGTTTCTCCATATCCTTTTCAACACTTTTGATTATCTAGCTTTTTTGTTATAACCATCCCGGTATGTGCGAAATGGTATCTCATTTTGGTTGATTGATATTTCCCTAATGACTAATGACGTTGAGTGTCTTTTTATGTGCTTGCGGGCCTTTGGTATATCTTTTTTGGAAAAAATATCTGTTCAGATCTCTTTTCCATTTTTAATTGGGTTATTGTGTTTTTATTGTTGAGTTGCAGGAGTTCTTTTGGCTCTTAGGCCCTTATCGTATATATGGTTTACAAATGCTTTCTCCCATTCTGTAGATTTTTTTTCACTTTATTACCAGTGTCTTTTGAACAGATAAAAGTTTTAAATTTGATAACAGAGTGATAACTTCTTAAGTAGCAAAGGCTTTATTGGCTGCTTGCCCCTCCTGTAACTTCTGCACGGACACTTAATCCACAAAAAGTACCTCATAGTTCTTGCCCGCGTTGCACATTTGCTGTGCTAGTGAACTCAAATCTCTTCTTCTTTCAAGAGGATATGTATAGAGCAGCTTTCACTTTGAGTGTTCCTAGTTCTCTCTTGGGTGTTTTGTGGTCCTGAATCTTCAAACTAATTTTACTTTGTGTGCACCTGTCAGTAATTCTTCCAGAAATAGCTTATACTTGCTTACCTAGGAATAATAAACTGTTTTTTCAGCACTCATTTTAGCTTTTAGGAGAATGTGTGCTTTATAGTTTGAAATCCACAGCAGGAGGTAAAAACAGTATTTGAGGCTACTTGTAATTCCATGTCATTTGTCCCGTAGGGAAACTTGACAGCGAATTTTTCCAACGTGCTCAGGACTACTCACTCTTTTTAAGGAAGGAGCAGCCTTGTCACTTCTTTGGGTGGACTCTTAATCCCAGTGCCGTTGAGACCTAGTGTCTTAGTTCGGCTGCTGTAACAGAACACCAAAGCCTGGGTGGTTTAAGCAACAGAAATTTGTTTCTCACAGCCCTGGAGGCTGGCAAGTCAGATCAGGGTGCCAGCACAGTCAAGTTCTGGTGAGGACCCTCCTCCTGGTTTGCAGACACCTGACTTCTTGCTGTGTCCTCTCTTGGCTGAGAGCTCAAGCTCAAGTCTCTTTCTCTTCTTATAAGGATATTAATCTCATCGTGGGGGCTCCACCCTTAGGACCTCATCTAAATCTAATTACCTCCCAAAGGCTCCATCTTCTAATACCACCCCAGGGGGGTTATGGTTTCAAATTATGAATTTGGGGGGCAACATAGTCATGCAGTCCATGCCAAACATGGAATGTTTGTGGCTTTTTGAATATCTCTCATTTATGAATGTGGGAAGTTGATGTGCAGATAATGATAATTGAGTCCTTTATCCATTGAAGATTGTGTCTGTGTGGTCCCAGTTTGTTTGAAAACTGTTTCATCCAAGGCCCGATTCCACCAATTTGTGGGAAGTTGGGGGAGAGATGGGGGTTGGCAGCATATAAGGAAGAATTCCCGACAGAAGAGTGTCCTTTCTCATGTCAAGGTCTCCAGATATTACACATTTACTCCAAAACTGTGAAAATACCCTGGCCACTGTGGCCAGGGACTTCCTAGTCATGACATACTCTCTCTGGAGACCTGAGGATTATCTCATAGGTGGCTGTCAGAAGCCAAGCC